TTGGTTTTTGAAATTTTCTATATATTCATAATTAATAGTTAATAATAAAATATATATTTCTAATAAAAGGCAAAAAGCAATATTATATAATTGTAATTTAATTTGAATAAGATTATTATCACACCAGTTAATAAATTCAGAAAAACAATTTATTAAATTAGGAGCATTAATATCTTCTTTTTCAATCCTATCTATTTGTTTCTCCATAGGTGTAGAACAAATTGTAACATTTATATTTCTATTGATATTATTTATTTTATCTCTTAATATATTTAGAACATCTTTATCCAAATTTAGATTATTTAACATTGTATCTAATGACATATTTTTATATGTATCCAAATCTAAAAGTTTATGTTTCTGTACAGGCTCCTTTTCTGTCATATTATTATCACTATCATCCATAACATTTCCAAATATTTTTGTTAATGCAATTAATTTTTTATCACATCCTAAATTTTCAAGTGATTCTCTGTTTATCATATTATATGGTTGTTCAGAACAATGCATTTTGATTTTTGGAGTAACTAAATTATCTTTCTGTACATTCATATTAATATTATTACCAAAATGGTTATTCAAATTATCTATATTATTATTATTATCTTTCCTTTCATCACTTTTTGTATTATGTGATATTTCATTTTTACTATTATCAGAAATGGTGTTAGTTTTTAAATTGTTTGAATTAAGATTCTCAATAATTCTATCATCATTTTTAAAAATAGGACAATCCTCTGTTATATTTATTTGTGTTTCTAAATTTGTTTTTATATCATTATTATTATTATTTTCTGTTTTATATATATGAATATTGTTATTATTTAATATATGTTGATCTTCATTTTTTCTTAAATTTAATATATCATTATTTTTTTCCACATTTCTTTCCTTGTCTTTTATATTATCATCTAATATAGTAACTTCATTTTTATCATCTTTAATTACTATATCTGATTTGTTTTTATCGTCCTTTTTATCGTCCTTTTTATCGTCCTTTTTTTCGTCCTTTTTTTCGTCCACTTTGTCGTCCTTTTTGTCGTCCTTTTTGTCTCCCTTTTTGTCTTCCTTTTTGTCGTCCTTTTTGTCTCCCTTTTTGTTTTCCTTTTTATCTTCTTTCTTTTCTCGCTTTTTCTTTTTTTTATTTTTTTTCTCTTCAAATTCTTGTTCAATACGTGCCTTGAGTTTTTCAAAATCATCTTGTAAATCTGTATCCAATGAATTATCAAAACTATTAGATATATTTGAATTTTTATTAAAGTTTATTTTCATATTATTATGTAGGCTACTATTTTTATCTAAAGGAATAGTTCCATTAAAAAAGGGTATGCGATTATTATTTATTCCATTATCAAATGAAGTTGTATTATTTTTTTTTATTTCTTCATATGGCATATTACTATTAACAGACATTGCATTACCCATATTATTATTTATTTCTATATTGGTCTTATTCATTTTATCTATTTTTTCAATTTTATTTACTTTATTCATTTTGCTTCCTCTGGGTTGTTTAGAATTTGGATGGTCATTATTTTTTACTATCTTATTATTTGTATTATACTTTCTTACAGATGTATAATCTGATTGTTTATTTTCGTTCTGGGAAGGATCATTAAAAATATCTAGTTCATTCATAAAATTAAATGTACTGTTCTTATTTAGTTTCTCTTTATTTAATTGTAGTTGATACATATTATCTGTATTTTCTGTATTTGTTAAATTATTATTAATATTATTATTTGTCGTTGTATCATTATTTTTTAGCTTTTGTTTTTTGACTCCCACTTTATGCATTGTGGATTTCATGTGTGCAGGTGCTTTTAGCATTATATTATTGTTAGCATTATTTATATCAAGCACATTACTATTATATCTTATATTAATTTCTTCACTGATACTTTTAAAGTCATTAATATTTTCCATATTGTTGTGAAATGGTTTCATAAATAATTGTTTATTATTATTTATATTATTATCTCCACTATTGTTATGTGATTTATAATTTCCATCTTCGTTATATAATAAATTGATATTTTTATTCATATTATTATTATTATTATTAATATTATTCATATTATTATTATTATTATTATTAATATTAATATTATGCATATTATTATTACTATTATTATTAATATTATGCATATTATTATTACTATTATTACTGTTATTGTTATTATTGTAATATAACTCATTCGATTTTGAATTTATATTATTATCCATAATGAAATTATTGCTATCATTATTATTATATTTATATATTTGGTTTCTATTTTTATTGTTTATATTATTTAAATTTATCGTTTTAAACACAGTCTTATCAACTTGGTAGGAATTATTAACAGTGGAATTATTTACATTAATCACGTTTTTTATATTATTCATATTAGACATATTATTCACATTAGATATATTATTCGTATTATTCATATTTCTCATATCACTTATATTATGTTTATTATTTATAACACTAGTATTATTTGCTTGATTAATATTACTTTGTCCTTTATTTGGCATATAGACATTTTCCTTATCATTTATAATTTTTTCTCTCTTATACATGTTTTCCATGTATTCATTTTCCTTAAATTGTTGTAATGTATTCGAATTGTCTTTAATATTATTAACTTTGTTCATAGTATTATTATTACTGTTTGTTAGGTATATATTACTTTCTGTATTTTTCATATCATTCATATAATACATATTTACACTGTTCTGATCTGTATTCATAAAACTATTTTTGTTCATACAATTTTTTATAATCATTTTGTTACTTATCTTTTTATTTATTTTTTCAGCATTATCTAAATTATTGTTCTTGTCATTATTTAATTTTTTGTTAATGTCTATATTATTTTTCATAATATTATTATAATTTATATTATTATAGTTATAGTTAATATTACTCATAACACTCTCTCTTGCGCTATTATTACTAATATTATTATGATTAATAATATTATTATTACTATTATTATTATTATTGTTATTGTTTATTATATTATTTTTATGTATATTACTATTAGTTAGATCATTACTCATTTTTATCGAGCTTTTTACATTAATATCCTTGACCATATTATTATTAAAATTGTTTAAATTATGTTTAATATTACTTGACATATTTCGTGGTTTAATATTTGAAGATATGCTACTTATATTGTTTGAAATATTATTTACATTATTATTTAATATGCTATTACTTCTATTTTTTGTTATATTTATATTATTTGGCATATTCATATTATTTGACATATTTATATTATTTGACATATTTATATTATTTGACATATTTATATTATTTGGCATATTCATATTATTTGGAATATTCATATTATTTGGAATATTCATATTATTTGGCATATTCATATTATTTGACATATTCATATTATTTGACATATTCATATTATTTGGCATATTCATATTATTTGGTATATTCATATTATTTGGCATATTCATATTATTTGGCATATTCATATTATTTGGTATATTCATATTATTTGGCATATTCATATTATTTGGCATATTCATATTATTTGTTCTGTTCACATTACTTGATATATTAATATTATTATTTGATGCATTAATATTATTTTGCATATTCATATTATTAGTATTATTTATATTATTGTTCATATTCAGGTTATTTGTTCTATTCATAGTATTTGATAAATTAATGTTACTCGTTCTACCCATATTATTTGGAACATTTATACTACTTGTCCTATTAACATTATTAGTAATATTCATATTATTATTAATACCCACATTATTTGTTATATTCATATTACTTGACACATTTCTACTATTTGTCATATTTATATTACTTGATATATTTCTAGTGCTTGGTATGTTTATATTACTATGTACATTATTAATATTATTCATAGGTCTCGGTATATTATTTATATTGTTTTGTATACTACCTCGATTATTTGCAATATTATTCATGATATGATTGGGCATAGTCATATTGTTATTTATGTTTGTACTTCCATTTTTGTTAATACTGTTATGAATATCATTATTATATTTATTGTTATTATTATTATTCATATTTTATTTCAAATGTTAATAATTGTTATTCATCAAATTCATTAATATTAATCAGTAATTAAAACATAAAAGAAAAAAATATATAATATTATATATATTTTTTTATTTCCACAAATAAAAAAAAAAAAATAAATAATAAAACTTTAATTATAAAAATATTATATATATATATATATATATATTATTATATTAATATATATAATTGTTGTATGAATATTTATATCAATATATATCATTATCACCTTTTCTTATGATAATTTTTTATTTTTTTTTTTTTTATTCTTCTTATATTTAAACCTTATTTTGTATATTAATTTTAAAAATATATTTTTCCATATAAAATGTTCGTTTTTTTATTGTGCCTTTTTTTTCTTCTTTATTTTACAAAAATATAACACTTTCATTGAAATTAAAAAAAAATTAAATAAATAAATAATATATACATAATATAATATATATATATATATATATAATAAAAGGCTATAGAGTATTTTTGTTACAAATTAAATAATTTTACAAATTTATAAATGATAATTTTTTTTTTATTTTTTTTTTTATGTTTTATATAAGCTCAATTATATATAATTATATATATATATATATATATATAATTTACATATATGCATAGATTTTTTTTTATCATAAAATAATATATTTTAAAAGGTATAAATTTATATATATATTTTCTCATACCATATATATATAATATTAAAAAAATAGGTACCTATATAAAATAAATATAATTATAATATATATATATATATAAAGAAAAAAAAAAAAAAAAAAAAAATTATATTTATATTCCAATTATTTATTTATTTTTTTTGAAGTAAAAATAATTATGTATTTATTAATAAAATCATCTTTATTTAGAATTTACTCATATAAAATAAATATTAAAATTAATTTTTAAAGGGGAAATAAATAAATATAGCAAGTGGTAATTTATTAAACAATTTTTATGGTATAATTATGAATTTTTTTTTTTTTTTTTCTTATTTTAGTAAAGAAAAATTAATATGAAATGTTTAAATATAATTATATTTTGTTCTTTATGGAATATATTATTTAAAAATTTGTACGCTTAAATATAATATGTTAAGACTTAATAAATATATATATCAATATATCTTTTGTACGAAAATTACATGTTCAACTTAAAAAATTAAAGTGATATTTTTGTAATAGTTATAATTCTTTTTTTTTTCTTTTTGGTGTCCTTTTTAAGTACGCAACCGATTTTATTTATAGTTTTAAAGAACAAGAATAATTTACACCTGTGTAAAAAGAAATAACCCTGAATATATTATAATGCCCTACTTTTATATATATTTAAAATATATATAATATAATGCTTAGTTGTTAATAGAGAAAATAAAGAAATGAAAATAAATTAAAGTAAAATAAAATAAAATAAAATAAGATAAAAGATGAAAGTACGACAAAAGAAAAGGGGGAATGTTTTAAAATAACATATAAACAATTATTAATATATATATATATATATATAAGCTTATATATATGAATGAGGCCCCTTTCATTTCATTAAATATTTATATATATTTGTTTTCCATATTAAATATATAATAAATAAAATCTTTTATAATCTTAATTTTCTTATGAAACTTTTTATACGTAATATATAGATTAAAACTGAGGTCTATAATATTATGAACGGTTATGCATATATATATATATATTATTTTAGAAGGGTTATATTTTATTATTTTAACTTTATTTTAATATATATATATATAATATGTATTTAGGAATATAGATAGAAAAAATTAGATACATAAACGTATGTATTTATATACAGGTTTATATATAATAAAATTAAAATATACTAGTATTTGTATATTTATATATATGTCTATATGAGTAAACATATCAAACTATACACATAAAAATATATACTAATATTTATCTTTATATATATGAACATAAATATATGCAAATATTTATATATTTAAGCATACACATACATAAAAAAATACATATAATTACATATATATACATATAACCATAAACATTAAAAAATATTTATGTGCTTGGATGTGTATATATGAAAATATACAAATAAATATATATAAATAAATATTAACATAGACATAATAACAAATAAATATATATAAATGTATATTAAAATATACATAATAACAAATAAATATATTTATATAAATATTAACATATACATATAAAAAAATAAATATATTTATATGAATACACATATATATATATATATATATATATATATATATATATATATATATACGTACGTACACGCTTATCAAATAAAGAAGTCATATATACATGATATATAAACATTAATATATAAATTCAAAATATATATATATATATATATGTATAAATTTATATACGTAAAATGTTTTTTATATATTTTTTCTTTTTTTTATGTTTTTTTTTTTTTAATAACAAATAATTAGATATAAAAGAAATTTTAGTTACATTCAATTAAAAGAAAAAACAAATAATAATATTAATTGATTTTTTTTTACTACTATATATAGTTTATATGTTAGAATAAATATATGAGAAACATATAATAAATGAAAGATTAAAAAAAATATATATATATTATATCAAATTATAATAAACAAAACGTGCGTGCATATGTAATATACATATATTTTATTAAAGATCTAAATTAATATAAAAATTAATAATATAGTTTATTATCTAATTAATTATTTGAGAATATGGTAACTTTAAGAATTGACAATTTTAAGAATTATCTGATTTAAGAATATCCGAGCGATCGAATTATCGAAATAATGAACCAAATCAAAAAAAAAAAAAAGAAAAAAAAAAAAAACAAATTAAATATAAAATATATATTAAAAAGGATGTATATAAGAAAAAGAAATGTTATGAATCATAATGGAATAGTTACCAAAATAAAAAATTTCTTTGGTTATATTAATGTTATTATTTATAAATAATTATTATTATTTTTTTTTTATTACATGCCCATTTTGTGTCTTTTTTTTAGAAATATATCTTTTGTAATATTTGTTATTTATATATAATATATTTAATGTGTTTATTATACAATAGTTTTGTTAGTTGAAACTAATTCTAGAAGATATAAAATGAACATATAAATTTTATATAATCAGCATGAATTATTTATTATTTGAATGTGTCCTTAAATTGTGAATGATCCTAATATTATATAACTTAAAAAAATCACTTAAGGCGTTTAAATTCTTTATATATAATTTAAAATTATATCACATATCCATATTTTCTCTAGAAATATATATATAAATAAGAACCCTTCTTATGTTATATAATAATGTAATTTCTTGTTAAAAAAGAAAATGAAATATATGTACATATATTTAAGTAAGAAAAAAAAAAATATATATATATATATATATAAATAATTTAAGAATATGTAGTTTTATATGTTAG